TTTATCCATTGTGCCTTTTAACATTGAGTTCTCAGGTCTCTGAATCATGCTTGTTTTGTTCTCTAATGTGCCTCCTGTGAGCTGTGAACTTTGTAGATGGAAAACCTTCTAATGGAATATCTTATAAAACAACATAGGTGAATTGGCTGTTTCTAGATCATTAACGCTGACTGTTTTCACCTACTAGGATCTTTAATTTTCCATTTGCTGCAATCAGTGGAAGCTTTTGGCTCTAATCTCAAAGTTTGCCAGTGACTTTGCCATATGACTCTCTAACTCCAGTTACCTTTTTCAAAAGGTACCAGGGCATGGCTCTTGTCAAGCAAGCTGGGTTCCTTTTATGACCACAAAGGCTTTAACATAGAGCCAAGTAAGCTTCTAGTGGTAAGGATGGCTTTCCTTACACCCTTAGGCTTGTTCTTCATCTGCAATAGTAGATTGAGTTGGTGGCATCTAGCTTGAGGCTTCCTTACCCAATAGACGTAATCATTACAAACAACAGCTTAGGTCAGGTCACAACTAAATGCCTACCCTGAAAGCATCTCATACACAGGAGGCATCCAAAAACTAGTCTTCACTGTGAACAGTCAGTCAGGGCATCATAGCTTGTGATGTGTCCTTCTTTCCCTCTCCCCCGCTACACAGTAGGAATGGTCAAAGTTGCACTCCTCTCACCTGACTATGGCAGATGTAGAGCTTACAGAGAATTGCAGTTTGGCTCAGTCAAAGGAATTGCAGGAGGGGTGTCTTTCAGGATGGCTTCCTCAAGAAAATCTGAGAATGGCTTGATGAACAGAACAAAAGACAGAATTTGTCCTGATAATCTTCTAGGGCAAAGATGTGAAAGAGACCAGGATAACACTCATGAAATGTACACACAGCAAGTTAAAATTAATTTCAAAGAAAACATCTTTTATTATTTTATATATGTGCTAGATCAAAGGAGCAACTCCGTAACTGGGTTGAAATTAATATGAAATCTAAAATAATCACAGCTTGTGATTTCTCTGTATGATACGTAATCACTCTGCTACAGTGCACATGACATAATCTGAAACATTACCCATTTATTGGAGGGGAAAAAGACAAACCAGGATTAAGATTGGAACAAAGGGGACAGTAGTGTTATATGACTTCCTGAATGCCAGGCTAGTAGTTGCATGTATCCAGTGGAATAAAGGAATTGATGTCTCTGACCACCATGTTACTGCATGACATAAAAGCTCTCTGCTTCAGGTTCAAAACAAGGTCTAGCCCTTCTCCGGTTCCTCCCTGCTATTCTCAGTTGTCTCATCTCACTGCATATTCCCTTCAGGTTTGACTAAAACCCATCCATCTGTGGAAGATGAAGTTGTTAAGATCAGGTCTTCACCATGTTTGTTGCATAGGGCAGTGTGCCATATAAATATTAAGGTATTAGATCAGCAAGTGAAGTCCCCTCTCCTGCTTGGTCCCATAATCTGCACAGAAGTATGCTTGCTCCAAATGAGAGAAATACAGCTTCAGAAATACCACGTCTGTGCAATACATGAGACAAAGGAAAAGGGTTTTTTCCAGCCACACTTGAAGCTAATTCCAGGAAGCTGCAATTCCAAGGAACAAAGATTTCGCTGAATTCTAGCAATAACAGATGTCCATAAATGAACCGCAGATAAGCTAGAAGCCTGCACAGCACTCTAGCACAAAACTCATGGAGCAGAGGAGACCTGGCAAGCACATTTGTCTGTAGAAATCTTCCACGATCAAATCAGTGTCCACAGCAGCTGGAGAACCCAGATTTCCTACTCCAACCACAGTGTTCATGCAACTCCTAGGCAGTGAATTAGACAAAGTGCACTGTTTCAAGGAGCTGAGCATGGGAAGAGGAGAAAGGTCTCTGTGTTGCTCAGACCAAGGGCAGCCCATCTGATGAATTAGTGCATAGACTAACAAGCAGAGCCTTTTATGCAACCTTACTTGCTAAGAACTGGGGAAAGGGTACAAGATTCTTCTAGATTCCTTCTCTTTTCTGTCCAATTTCAACTTGCAAGTGAAGCATTTCTTAAATTCCTTACCACTGAAGTTCCTCCTACACATTTTGAAGGTTCCCAGAGCACTGTTTCAACACTAACAGGGTGGAAAAAAAACCAAATCTGGAGCTAAAAGCAGATTTGGAATCTGAAGCAGATTCACATCAGTCAGCTCACCTCTACTGCTGTTCCAAAGATGGAGATGCCTGGCTGACTCTCCGTGCAAATGCAAACCTCTTCCTTTCTTGAAGGAGGTGCTACCTCATTCCTCTTGCTACCTACCTCACTTCTGGCTGAGATGTGCCATGCACACCGATAGGAAATTACAAACTGCTTGTGATTTCTCAAAATTCTTCTGCATGTTCCTTCCACAAAGCTACCGCCATCATCAGAGCAGCAGCCAGTGCCCCTGGCTCCATTCGCGACAGCTTATTCAGCAGCACTACAGCCCTCGGGGAACGCTGGGTCAGCAGCACCTTGTCTTTGAGTAACTGGCAGCACAGTCTTAACAAGTAACAAGAAAGAGTTCTGTCAATGGTTACTGCGCACACACAGACAGAGAGACCTTAGTATTTCTGCAGATAAGTACCTACCAAACTGAAGGTGTGGCGAGCAGTTATTGCCAGCAGCCAGCTCTCTCAGGTCTACGTAACCATGGCCTAGAAGACCGTTCCTATGAAAGTTATCACCCAAGTTAGCGAATACTGCAAGGAAAGGGAGAATTCTTCTTTCTGCACTGGATAGCATGTCTGACAAGTGAGGCTGACGGACACTGGAGCTAGTTTATGAACAAATGAGTTTTGGACCTCCGGTTTCAGGCCTTGCACACTGGGTCCACAGCACAATTGTGATCGTGGAAATGCGCTGAAAGCTAAAAGACCTTCCCTATGTTATATGCAAAGTTCTTCCCTGTACTTACTCTTCTGGAAACTGGAGACAAGACCTTGTCTTGTCTTGTGCAAGTAGATGAAATGGTAATTTCGTCTTTTCTCCAGTGAAAGGCAAAGATTCAAATTTAAGATTGTGTTCCTCACATTACAGCTGATTTTAGAAGAAGCCAAGCGATTCTTGTCCTGGTGACACAAAGGAGAAGAACTCCAGCCAGTGCGATGAGAGGAAGAGACTGCTTCCCACTATGGATTTCACAGGAGGGAAATTCACCTAAAGAGACTATCTTTCTGCTCCTACTCAGAAAATAAGGTATAGAGAAAGATGCCATGGAGAAGGACCTCTTTGCCTGAGTCACTGACAGAGCACCCAGTCCCGTTCAGATGCGGAGCCTTGCATAATGTAAGAACAGAGCCTGCTCTGCAGATACATCAGTATTGAGAAGATGGAGAGCTGCTTGAAGCAGAATGTCAGTGAGTGTGAATGCTGAGATTTAAATTAAGAACAACTCAAACTTTTGTGCAGAACATCTTGTTTGTACCCTGTGTATGGAGCTGCCTGGTAAAGCAGGAAGAAGAAAGAGGAGGCAGAGCAGACCTATTTCTGATCTCTGTGTGTTGTGAGCTGACTGTAACTAGGAACACCAGCTCAGTTGTATTGGCTCCAAAGGCTTTCCATCACACAAGCAGACTGATTTATGCTTCTAAAATCACACTGCTTCTCTGGAATTAAGACACTCCTTGCTGAGCCAATCTTTCACATGGAGTTTCTCAAGCAATGCTTGCTTAGCTTCTTTGGACTGTCTAAGGATAGCCCAAACTAGGAGAGCACAGGCAATAGAAGGTGCGTGACACTAGGGATATGGAGACGTTCCTGGGCAAGTAAGTCCCCGCTGCTAGTTCATGTTAGGGGGTCTCTACCTGCATGCCAAAGCAAGAGGAAGGAACAAGGATCAGACCGTACAGGGTATCCCTGAGCTGCAAACCACATGAGGGATGAGAAGAAAAAAGGACGGATACATTTGTACTCTTAAAAATGAAGACTGTGGACTTGGGGCTCAGGTACCATCCCAGCTTGGTGATCTCCTCCTTCAATCCTGGCATGCAAGGAAGGAGCAAAGGTGTGCTCTGACTCTGTATGGTTGGCCCTTGTTCCAAAGAGGGGCCTCTCTTTGGAAGCTGTGCCAGCTGGAGCAGGAGGATGTCCCTTGCAACAGCTGGGGTCAGGGTGGGTGCTGAAGCAGCCTCTTGCTGCAACATTGACTTCTGGGCAAAGACAACCCTGGGAATTCAGACTCTGTCGTGGTTTCCTCTGCTATGGAGAGCAGGCTGCTGGCTCCCTACTGGGATGCGAAAAGGCAGAAGTGTTCACAGAATGCGAAATAGGTGAGAGGGAATAATGTAAGTTTCCCCTCAGCCCTGCAGCAAGTTGCTCTGGCTACTGCAGCTTCCTTTGAGGGGGGCCTGCTTTTCCAAGCTGCCAGAGGACTGCAAAATGGGACTTTGTTTCAGACTGACAGTGATGCAGTGGCAAATCCCCAAGCAAACAGAATTTGTTGAAGTCCATAGGCACTTGTTCCTCATCAGGAGAATGTTAAGACTTAAAGCCTTCCCTTGGCAAAGCACCACCACAACACAGCTTCTGGTGTGCTCACGTCACCGACTGGACGAATAGTGCATTGTACAAATGGTACATTGGCTGATAGTGTCTCCTTGCACAGGGAAGAGCTTCCTCCTCAAACACATCATGAGGAGGAGGACGGGCTTGCCTGATCTTCATGCACAAAGGGTGGTAAAGAAAAAATTCTGATGGCTGAACAAAACTGGAATTGCTGGGACAAGCTGCCTTCTTATACCCTGTTTTCATTATGGCTCAATTATTGATGGCAGCAATATATGTTCACAGTTGAAAGCCTGCTGGCAGCTGTCAGGATTGCAGATGAGTACCAATAAAAGCAAGGGGCTTTTAGTGCTGAGACAGGGAGTTTTCTTTCATGTTGGCTAGATTAGATGATCACCCCAGGTCTCTCCCCATTCTTTTCCTCTTCCCTTTCCAGTACCTAAAATCCCTGACAGTAGATCTTTAGGCACACCTGCCTTAACCCTAGCTCCAGTTCTCCTTCTTGAAAGCCAGCTGCACAGCATCATTCACATCCTGCACTATGTAAGATGCCTCCACCAGGCTGGGGTCAAAGCAAAAGTCCCGATGGCCGTGGAACACTGTTTCTGTTGTGCACTCCTCTGTTTTACTGGGAACATCTGCATTGTGGCGGTAGACCCCAGTGCAGACCAAAATCGACTCACAACTCTCCACTGAATTGTTGCAGTCCTTCCTCAGCTCAAGGTGATCCTCAGTTTGGGGACTGGCTGCCTCCGGGCTCCTCTTCATCTGGACCTGGTTCTGCCGAGCTGACTTGAGGTAGTTGTTGTAGAGGTTTGCCCCATAGATATCGGACATAGGGTTATCCCTGGATAAAGTCACAGTGTGAAACAGAAATGAGAAACGAGCCCATACATCAATTTCTGGCTCTGGCAGACTGGGGTTAAGGCAGCACTGAGGGAGGAAGGGAAGCAAGATATTTGCTAACATGAAGAGAAACACCCAGTTGGGGTCCGTGAGTCTACCTAGTGGCGTGTCCTGTTGAGTTGTGGTGAAAGCCACATGCTTCACTAACATCTTTCCAAGGGGAAAAGACATGTCCAAAGCACCCATAGCAGTTTCAGCCATTACTGTAATGTATTCCCTAAGATCCAAAAGTGTTGGGCGTAACTGGGCTAATGGTACTACATCTGAGTCTCTAACCTTTTTCTTTAATCCAGTCATGCTACATGCACTCTGCATCCTACAGTAACAGCTTTGCTAGGCTGACAGGGCCCTTCAAATTATTAAAAGTACTGGGTGCAAAAAGCTATCAAGTATCTGTCCCAGGATGTGAGGCTCCAGAGATGCCATGGGGATTTTGGTATTAATTTAAAAAATATCCATTAAAAAAACCACTTAGGGCGAGCCAGTATGCAACTCCCTAAGGAAATGAGCAGGAAAAACAGTCTCTTACCCAACTGCATAGAGGCGTCGGATGGGAGACATCCAGCCCTGTTTCTCTGCCTGCTGTTTTATCAAGTATTCGGCATAGCGGTAGGTGACTGTGCTGGGTTTGCCAATCAAGGCCTCGTACTTCAGCTCCCGGCCTGTTACTTTCTTGTAGATGTTCTCCAAGCAGAGAAGGAAAGTGCCGTGGCCAAACCTGCTTCAGAAAGGAGGTCATCAATATCCCCAGTCACACTACTTAAGTAGCAAACATTCCTCAGTGAGGAGGACCATCTGCTGTAGCCAGGGTACTGCGTAGTTTGGACACGGTATCTACCCACAGAGACCTCCACCGGCAGCGGTCTGGCTTTTGCTTCTTGAAAGTTTTAGTCTTTGTTTCTCATACAGTTTTCACATCTTTGCTGCTAATTATGCCATACAGTCAAACTCTTAACACTACAAAATGTAGTAAGAAAAGATCATCTGCAGGAGAGATGTATGAAATAGGCTAAAACAAATACCACACGTGCTCTTCACCTGGGCATCTTGGCTTCGGCCATCCACAGGAGATCCATGTTGCAGGCAAGAACAGGCAGATGGGGGTATGGTATATCTTGTAGCTCTGCCCCAGGGTTCCCGTTGCTCAAGAGTACATCAATAATAAGTTGCAGGCTGGTCTCCCACCTCACTGGCTCACCAAACAGAATCACTCCTGGAAGATTTTAAGAGATGCTTGGAAACTCACAGCATCCAAGTACAGGACCCGCTACCAAAACCCACCCACTAGCAAAAACATTCCTCTGCTGGGATGCCCTGGCTAATACAGCTACTGTTGGAATGTGGCTGGTGTCAGGGCTCTAGTCTGCATATCACTGCACCACGTGCACCACTGGTCCCAAATACGGGAGCACGGCACAGAGAAAAGTTGGCTTTGCTCTTATCAAGCCAGTGCTTCACACTGCATGAGGGCAGCGAGGCTGCCTCCTGACTGTGTCCTCTGAATAAGCTGCCTGTGGATTCTGATGAGCCAACAGCACATCATTAGCTCCCATCCCAGCTGGCTTGCCTTGCTGTTATTTCTGCTTGCTGTTCATATGTAAACAAAGGCTATTGCTTACCTTCTATAGTGGGGAAGCCAGTGGTTGGAGGAGGCTGCCAGAAAAAAACGAAGGCTGGGTTAGTAATGCAAAACCTAATGCCGTCTCCAAAACAAAACTAAAAATGCTTCCTTTGAACCTGCCAAAGCAACCCCATAAAGAGGCAAGACAAGGCCACCTGGAATCCTGAAGAAAGATCCCCCCCCCGCCCCCATCCCAGATTAGATTTCACAGATCTTGCATTCCTGTCTCAGAGTTGGAGATGCCAACCAAACCATCTTACCGCTCACTGCAGGGAATAGCAACAAAAGACAAGCATGGCATAAGAGAGGGGAAAGTCACTGCCCTTCCTGCAGGAGCAACGCTGGAAAAAGCAGAGATGCTGGCTGCTCAGTATCAGTCCCAGGCTCTCGCTAAACAGAGTCACTAGCAGCCAGCTGCTCTGTGCCTCTGCAGCTTCTCCACCCCATGCTATATGCTGTAAGCACCACCACACCAGACCACCCGTTCTACTGCTGCATCAGGAAATTACCAGCTCCTTTGGCCTCCGGCTCTGATCCACCATGTCTAACAGGGGATATGCTTTCCTCAGCGCCTCCATGGTGACCACATGCTTGAACCCCAGGCTATTTCAGACCATCAAGGAAAGCTGTGCAGACTGTTTGGTTTTTTTAAGTGACTGGGTTTTTTTAAGTTACTTGCAAAAGCATCTACAGGAATTCCTACATTAAGGAATACAAGTCCTAGTAAGAGCAGTTATTTAACCTGGTAATGCATAACCTTACGGCTTTCAGTGAAACTGTATACTCTGCTTCAACCTACAGGTGGCCCGGAAGGTTGCAAAAAACCCCAGACTGGGGTGATTTAGTTTGAGATCAGCAATCCCCAGAATTAGGCAAAGAGCAGAGGTCCCTCCAAGACAGTATGGATGTGCTTTGGGAGACCTTTAAGGCCAGGGTTCTCATATTGATGCAGCGCAGGGAGCTGGTCAGACTTCTTGGCTAGAAGCAGAATCAGTGAAGCTCTGATCAGCTCATCTGGTGAAAAGAAAATGGTCTGTGCTGATAAAACTACGCAAGGGAAGGATGAGTTGCATTTGCTTGCAGAGTACCTTGCCCTTAGCTTGCTCTACTGGCCTTGGGGAAACACAGAGATGAGCCAACGTTTTGTACCAAATGAAGTTAAATGTTAAGTACAAGGTGTGACTCTGTGTGTACAGGTTGAGATGTCGCAAACCCTGCAGGCAGTTCTTACCTGCTTGCAGACAAGGGACACGTCAGACCTGCTGTGCCCTCACCTCAGCCAGGCAATATGCATGTGGGATTGTCATTTAGACCACGTCCCTGCACTGGGATGCTCTGAATCTAATGATATTTGGGTTCCTCTAATTGCTCTCAGATTTCTGAGGAAAACCTTAGCTGTGGGAGAGCTAGGAGTGATCTCTAACGCACTTTGCCATGAAAGAATGGGAGGAGCACAATTTTATTTCAAAAGTGAGAGAGGCCCAAAGCTGACAGACTCCTCATGACGACATCCTGCCAACGGGAACACCAATCACAAGTGAGGTAATCGGTGTGAGAAGCCAAGCACAGAAGGACAGCCAGGAGGTGACCAAGATGGAGATCAACAGTTAGTGCCTGCATTTGAGCCCCTCCATGAGGGTGCCTCCCCATAAGATGAGACCAGTGACCTCTCTGTCTCCTTGTGCTTCTACAAGCTGACCGAGCGAGTGCCAGGGCTATGGGCTAGGCAGGAGCAGCAGCGTTTAGCTGGGAAGCTGCAGCGGGACACGCAGCAAAGGATACTTCAGGGCGTTCTCTTCCACGGGCCCCTGCCCGGCCACCAGCATGCACTTCTGGTGGAACTGGTTGAAGAGCCGCAGGGGGCTGTGGGACAGGATCACCTGCTCCGGAGACACCTGCGGGAGGGAGGAGAGGGTGACGGGGGATCCATGGGGATGGTATCCCCCCTTCTCCCTGTGGTCGGGTTGCACCCCTAACCCCGGCTGCCTCCCTCCATCCCCTCAGGCCGAGGAAGGATCAGTCAGTCACCCGTGGTGCCGCCACCCCACAGCCCTTCACCCCTCCCGGGCAAGTCGCACCCGGGTGGGCTCCCTCCTCCTCCCGCTGCTCCCTTCCATAGCCGGGACACCTGAACGGGGCGGGG